CCCCAAAACCCCAAAACCCCTTGAAATGAAAATTCATTGATGGTAATAGAGTTTTAGAGTATTGATAAATTAAAAATTATATTTGATTTAAATTAAGGAGATTTACAATAATATATATATACACATTATTACAATGAATACCACTAATATCTATATATGCAAGGGATGCAATCTTTTTTATAACCAAGTCAAAAGAATACCAATGATACTGTCATGCGGCCATATAATTTGCAATCAATGTGTGTAAAAGCAATTGTAATAAAATCAAACTTTAATAAAATGCCCTCTAAATGATTCCTGCCAGCAGAAAGATGATTTTTAAACTATTCCATTTTAAGGAATGATAGATAATCTTGATAAACGAAATACTCTTAACATTAACTGTGATGTTCATCCAGAAAAGATGGTTAAAAAATATTGCAAAGTATCAAAGAAAATGCTCTGCAATATTTGCTCAACGAATTGTGAGTGTGACAATCATGAGAATATTTTTAGAAAAGATTTGGATTATTACATTTAGCATAAAATTCCTTCTCTTCAAAATCAAATAGAAAAAATTAAAGCACTTATACTTAACCTCTAATAGTATTTCTACTAAGCACTACCAGGATAAGTTGTTAGGGGCTAATGAGTTTCTTGATTTGATTATTCAAATTAATAAATACTTGGGCCCTGAAAAATGTTAGGAAGATTAGATACTATTTAACCTTGAAAGCTAGTAAAATAGTTAAAAGTTTGAAAATCTTCAATTTATCTAGAGTCTTAATTTGAATTAGAATACAGACGATAAAAAAGAGTAGGAGATACATCAACTAATGTCTGAAAAAGATAAGATAAAGTGTTTCAGAGGATTAGTAGACTATCATCTAGAATCATTAAAGTATCAGTAAAATAATGGTTTTTATAAACTTATACCTCTAACAGGTCAAAGTAAGCTTTTATACAAGGCTTCAAAAGATGGATTTACAGCTGAAAGTTTTCATCATAAATGTGATAACCAAGGACCTACAATTTCATTCATATAGAGTGAGCACGGAAAAGTGTTTGGATGTTATACATCTCTATCTTGGGCAACTCCAGATAAGCACAGTAAAGATAGTGAAGCATTTGTTTTTAGTTTGAGTCATAACACTCTGCATGAATAATATCAGAACTTTGATAGTGCAGTTGGACAATACAAAAAATATTTTATGGTATTTGGTAGTAGCAATGATATTTGCATTTATGATGATTGCAATAGCAAGAATGATAATTTTTGTTTTTTAGGGGGTACATATTCGCCTTAATAAGGTTTTAAACTTGGAGATTAATAAGTGAGAGAGCATTTAGCTGGAAGTGAGAAATTCAAAGTAATAGAAATAGAAGTTTACCAAGTTCTATTATGATATTGATTGAGAATGATGATACTAAGTATTTAAATTCACCTATATATTCTATTCATTGTCATATCAGTTAGATATTTAAACTTTTTTTTCTTCAACTTAGTCTTAGAGATAGTTTCATGGGGTTTTGGGGTTTTGGGGTTTT